GTGTCTTCCCATATTAATTAACTTAATAAAGACAGTCTCCCCAGACATGTCCCCAGGTCCACCTAGTGTAGATAGTCCCTTATTGAGACTGCTTTCCCAGGTGATTCTAGGTTGTGTCAAGTGACAATTGAAGCTGATCATGACACTACATGGTGGTTAATATTGGGCTGAGAATAGCGCTTTTATTTGTCTTGCGTCTTCTCATTAGAAGTTTTAACTCAATTTAGAAATGCCGCCATTTTTGTCTATAATTTGTGTTTTGGTAAGTTGGTGCTGAGGCTGTACCCCAGGGTCTCATGCTAAATATGCACTATGCCACTGGGTTACATTCTCAATCATGAATGTTACAGCATTAAAAAAAAAAAAATTACCTCATGAATGTTACAGCATTAAAAAAAGATCACATTAAAAAAAGATCACAAAGTCATGACACTGAGTGGAAACACACACACACACACACACACAAAAAAGACTAAATACTATGATTCTATTTTTATGATATTTGGGAAAAAGCAAAATTATGTGACTGTACCCCAGGGCCTCACGCTTGCTAAGCATGTACTACGCCACTGAGTTACACTCTGAGCCATGAATGTTTTGAATGTGTTCCAACATTTTTTTAGAACGAATATTTCTGCGCTGGAGGGATGGCTCAGTGTTTAAGAGCACTGGTGTCCTTGCAGAAGATCTGGGTTTGAATTCCAGCACCTACATGGTGGGTAACAACCATCTGTAACTCCAGTTCCAGGGGATTTGATGCCTTCTTCTGTTCTCTGTGGGTACTGCATGACATGGATGCACCTACATACATGCAGGCATAATGCTCATACATATAAATTTTTAAAGTTTTTTAGAAATTAAAAAGAAAAGAATCTCACTGATATTTGCAACAAAGATCAATGTGGTGGTTCCTTCTTTTACCCCTAGCACAGGGAGACCCTGTCTCAAAAAGACAAAAAAAAAAATTGCTTTTATGTATGTAGTTTGATGAGTTTTTGGTCTGTTTTTTGAGACAGGGTCTCTCTGTAGCCCCAGCTGGCTTGGAACTCACTTTGTAGACCAGGCTGGCCTTGAACTCACAGAGATCCACCTGCCTCTGCCTCCTGAGTGGTGGGATTACCTGCTCAGCTTGATGAGTTTTAAACAAACAGTTGCAACCACCATCACAAGCAAAATACAGAGCACTTCCATCATGCCCCAAAGTTCCCTCATACCCTTTCAGATTGGATTGTTTCCTTCCTGACCATCTGTCTAATGCATGACAACCACTGGCTATGCATTTTTTTTTTGAGACAGGGTCTCACTATGTACCCAGCCTGATCTTGAACTGCAGATCTTCCTGCCTCAGCCTCCTGAGTGCTGGAATCACAAGTGTAACCCATCATTTCTGGCTGTATTCCAGTAATTTTTCTTTTCCCCAAATTCCATATAAATGGAATTACAGTATTTAGTCTTTTGTGTGACTTTTT